TTTACTTCAGTCAAAATAAAACAGTTATCTCCGGTCTTGAGGGTATGTTTTTGTGTGTAATTGGTCCAACATGTCATGTTATGTCTACTGTCTCACTGTGCAGCCTTTTAACAACTTCCATCTGTGCAGTCATTGTTTAATGATGCACACATACCAAACTGTTCTGACCCCATGTTACATTGTACATTCTAGGGCTCTTGAACATGAAATAATGATCCCTCATGCTTGTAGGCCACTCTTACATACATGTACATGTACATGTCGCTGTACTCTTTTCTTTCGGTGAGCTCATGTACATGTACGTGTATCTGCTCAGATTGCCGCCCGCTGGACATGCCAAGCCCAGCTCCAGCATCACTAGCTCATTGTTTACATTCTGTCAAAATCAAGGCAATTAAGTTTAAACTTGAAGACTTCAAACAAACTTAGGGTTTTTTTTCCAATTTGTTTTTGTATAGTTGCAAAGGTACTGCATACATGTGCATGTAGAAAGAGCAGCGGTATCATACCTGTAGTAATAAAGTTTACTCATGCTTTCAAGTACATACATTGTATATTCCTGCTTTTCCTACTTTTTCCTTGTTTTTTTTTTACCTTGCTCCTACTTTTCATATTTTTTCTTGAGTTCCTACTTTAGACTGTAAAATGAAATCCCATTGATATTAAACAGTGTTACACACTGTCATGTAAATTACATAGTGAAGGGATTGGGCGCTGGAGTACTGCAACTGTACTTCCAAGACTCGGAGCTTACAACTAAATGCAGCACAAGTGCTGTGACTAGTATGAGTGCGGAACATGGCAAAAGTCCCACTTTTATCCTGATTTTTTCCTACTTTTTTTGTCCCACAAAACTGAAACATGAAATCACATTGACTATTATTCATAACAGTGTTACACACTGTCATGTAAATTACACAAAGTGAAGGAATTGGGCGCAGGAGTATCTGTTTCCAAGAGCTTACAAGTAAATGGAGCACAAGTATTGTGAGTAGGGAACATGGCAAAAGTCCTACTTTCATCCTGATTCTTTCCTCCAAAAATTGAGCCTACTGTTCTCTTTTTTTTTCACCCAAGTCTGCTCGAAAGCCTGTAGTCTAAAGTTACAAGTGACTCTGAAGAACCCATTTCTGTGGGCTGTGGAATTTATTGTCCACCCTCCCTGGGGTATTGGTCATATTTGATTTATTCAATTAGCCAAGGGGGATGCATTCAACCTTATCAACACAAATCAAAACACAGCGTCCATCACACACCACACTGTGCGGAAGATCAGGCCCCATCCATTCCTTCACTTCCACAGGCGTGTGTGTGTCTTCCCCAGCAACACTGGTTCCCTTCATCCCCAGCAAAACTGTAGCCCTTCATCCCCAGCAAAACTGGTTGCCATCACAGGCTTCAAGTTCCACTTCCAGCTCAAGAAGCACTAAGATAAACTTAGAGTTCTCTCTCCTCTCTCTCTCTGAGGATTTGGCGGGTCGTCACAATCCAGCTTTCCCATCATACACAGTATGTGTGTACCACCAGTGTGTGTCTATATTTATACATACCAGTATGAGTATACGACCTTCTTACGCACATATGGTTGCCATGGCAACAAAGTTGATGTGATTTGTCTCAAGTGTGCCCTCATGGGTGAGCGCTGGGGCCAAAGAAACTTTTCCTGGCTTTTCAGGACTGGGATCGTCAACCCTGGCTAAACAGCACAGCATGAGGCCCTAACAATCGGAGAGTTTGAAGATTTACAAGTTGGGTGTCATAGTTTTACGGGCTGTGTTGACTGTGTAAGGAGATCTGGGCGCATCATGTTTTTATTGAACAGTGCACAAATGATCGCCATGTGTACTTAGGAACACACGACTTCAAACTGTGTGCTGTGAAATTTACACTTTGTCCACCAGTATGACAGAATAGCTTTTTTAGTTTTATAGATATTTTTAAACCAATTTTTTTTAAAGCTGTTGTGAACTTTTGTTTCGAACTGACAAATTCCTCGTAAGAACAAGTGAAACTTTCTCAGACAAGTTCCTTTGCTGTAGTCTACCGACATGGTTTGTTTCAGCTAACAAAAAAACAAAACAGCAAGAAAAAAAGTCTAAAAGCTTGGTATTTCTTTTAAATTTGACAATTTTTTTGTTAGACTGTTTATATTTTTAGTTGATTTTTCGGTCGTTGAAGTGATCTGATGTTGATCAGTTGTGCCAAAATAAAAACTGTTGGCCTATGCGGCTGTGCCACTTCAGGTGAAAAATACAATTGATATGCCAAACTTCTAGCCAGGTACACTATCCTGAATCGGCAATAAAAGATTTCACACACTCTGCTAAAAAAAAAAAAAAATTGTGGGTCAAACAATATAAAAATTGAACTTTGGAATTGGTCAAGATCAATCCAAAGTTTTTTTTTCCCCTTTCAACAATTCTTGTTGATACCTTACAGCTCTTCAGGCCACAGTGGCTCAGTGTGTACACAAACCATTAATCTCGTTTGTGGTTGATTGTGGAACTTCTGGTGCTAAAATCAACAGGAGTCAAGTGATCCTAGGCACAGCATTGTTGGAGGCATTTGGCTACCTGTATTGTGTGGTCTTGACGGCATTGTTGGTTCTGTGAATAGTGGTTAACAGTTAACTTGTAATGGAATCAATGAGCCATGTGATTGTGTTTGATTGCTTCCTGTGTGCATCCAGTCATTGTTGAGGTCTTGAATCTTAACCACAAAGTTGTTGTTTTTTAAGTGGAGGCCTACTGTTTCTTTTACACTGCATGCTACATTTGTTTTCTTTTCTTATGTGGAAAAAAATCGACCTAGCTTTTCCAATTAATCCATTAGCAACTGTACTAGATGTACATTGTATTACATTAGTGCTTATTCACTAATGAACCATAAAACCATTAGCCCTTTTCACACTTGAACCTCTCAACCCCGGTTGAACTTGACCCTGGGCGAACCCAGTGCTGTCCGGGTTGAGTTTTTTTAATATTCAACCTCGCGTTCAACCCTGCATCATTTCACACTTGTTTGTGTGCAAACCGAGCTTATTCCACTCGGTTACTTCTGTTTTGAACCCTGGCGAGAGTTTCAATCCGGGTTGGAATCTCAACCCTGGTCTGGAGCAGGGTTGAGTTCAACCCCGGGCAAAATCAATCTCAGGGTTGACACAGGGTTGGCGCAGGGTCGAACGTTTTCAAGTGTGAAACTGCCGCATGTTTTCCACCCTGCGTCAACTCCACGTCAACCCCAAGATTTGTCTAGTGTGAAAAGGCCTATAGTGTTCCATGGCATGCAGTATAAAGACATCTAGTGCAAATTATTCCTTTTTTTGTTGTGGTTGGTCTTCAACTTTAAAAAAAAAAACACAAAGAAACTGACAGGTTGTCAAGTAGTATCTTCTCTCACTGTCCCCTCAAGGACTGTTTCCTACCTAGGTTTGCAGCATCACCAATGTTGCAAGAATTGCGACCCATGGAAATGATCCTTGGCCACATTGCATGTGGAGGAATGCATGGCATTTTACTTTCTGGGTGCAGGCCATTAAATAGGCTCAAAATTGCCTGCGCTGTCCAATCACGATTTGCATGCCCTCAATTTTTGCGCTGTTAGAGCATTTTGTGGGCCATGAACTTGAGGGTACCTGTATGTTAATAAAAAAGAGGGGTGTAAGCCACGAAGCCATACTGGTATTTCTGTGAAATTCAGATGAAATTGGGCCCTAAAATTGTTTGAGGACTACTTTTATGGGTGAATCTTAGACCTTAGAGAGTTGTGAGCATTTTTCATAATTTTTGGAAGTAGGCATGGTTATCACTGAGGTCTATGGCAGTTTATTTACTGGTCTGCAACCATCTACTGGTAGAGCCCTCAGAACAAAGACACTGATAAATAGGAAGAGCGCCATCATACAACTTGAAAGCTCTGTCCACGAGAGCAACGATGGTATTCCAGTGGTCGTGTGTTAAAAAAGTCTGCTTCAGTCAAATTACTATCTTCAACAGTTGAAATTGTTTTCAGTTTATTAAGACATATTTTGTCTGAAGAGCTTTGACCCACGTCTGACCCTAATTCTAAGGCCCGGCCATGATGTTAACAAGCAACCTTTAGACATTGACGTTAGTCGTAAATCATCCAGAAATAAATTTCAAACAAGTTTCACAGTGTGACAAGTTTATCGTTCGGGATCCTTGATCCCCACAAACTGTTTCTGAGTTTCAAGTACCAAGTCCAGCCTTATCACAAACAAAACATTCAAAAAAAGAAAACACTGGTACCCTTGTCAATATCTCCAGTATCATGCCATAAATCAGGGGTGAGTTACCAGCCTTGACCCTGCTCAAGAGCAGCCAATATGGCTGCAGGGTGGTACCCATGACCCTTAGATGCCAGCACCTGTGCCACTAACACAGCAGAACCTTGGGTTTCAGTCCATCGGGGGCCATGGTGATCACATAATTTTTATTCCTGTTTGCTTTACTAGTAGTAGTACATATACATATGTTTCCCTTGGATGTGCAGGTCTTGGTATTATCGCTTTCAATTTTAAACAAAATACTTTTATCTTGAGGTTAGAGTGCACATGTAAACAAAATGTAAAAGAAATCAAACAGGTTTTGAACAATGTTGTAAAAGTTTCTATTTTGGAGAGGGTGGAAGGGATCGGATCGGGGTTGATCTCAACAAAATCTAGAAAGCACTCAGAGAGCGCAAACCTCTGCCAAGTCTAAACAATTCCCAGCCATATTGTCAGTACAGCTGAAAGAAATACTCGCATGAATGGTGAAGAATCCTAAAATAACACCCGGGATCCAGACCTGAAGTTTATAACTGACTGGATTTTACCTGAAATACATGATAATGCATACACATCGTTGAATGGCCTGATGTTATGGTCCTGAAAGGATCTTTTCCAAAGGCATTTAAGATCACGTAAGAGCGTTTTGGCTGCTTTACAACATGTAAAATACATTCACGTTTTCAATTCTCTGCCCATTTCCCCCCATTAGGCACTTCAGCAGGCCCGGTTACCAGCACCCCAGTCAGGCCGACCCTATCCCTCAACAACAGCGCCCAGACCCCCGGCTCCACCAACAGCCTCAGCATGGAGCAGGCCGTAGCCATCCACAGCTCCCCAGCCACACCCCTGGCCCCCTCCGCCCCTTCCCCTCACCCCTTCAAGGTGGTCGTGGCCATCGACTTTGGCACCACCTTCAGCGGCTACGCCTACAGCTATCGACGGGACCCGGACGACGTGCAGATCATGCGCAAGTGGGAAGGCGGGGACCCCGGCGTGACCAACATGAAGACCCCGACCACGCTGCTGCTGCATCCTGGCGGAGAGTTCCACTCCTTCGGCTTCACGGCCAGGGATTTCTACCACGACATGGATCACAGCGAAGCCCTGCGCTGGCTGTACTTTGACAAGTTCAAGTTGGCTCTTCACAAGGATCCTGTAAGTCACTCTTGATACTTTGTAGTAAGCCGTAGAGTTGTGATTGAGTTATCACAGGGCCTCATGAGTCGATCACGAGGCGTCTGGTTTCAGATTAAGTGACACGCTTTATTCATATGAATGGTAACAAAGTTATTCCTTTCAGGGCTATTTTTGCAGAGATGCCACTTTTCAGGTTTTAACCTGAATTCAGGTTTTTTTTCAAAAAATGTGACAAATTAAAAGTGCTGGATTTGGTCTGAAACATCCAGAAAACACATTCTTGAAAGGGGGTAAGGGTAGTTTCAGGTTTTTTAGTAGTGTTTCAGGCTTTTTATTGATACTGGTGGCATCTCTGTATTTGGCTTGTGTTTTGATTTTTGATTGGCTTGTCATTGACTTGTGATTGACTTGAATACAGCTCTGCAAATTGTGTACACAATTCCAGATTCAAATGGGACACATATTGTGGGACCTTTACCGTACCTTTCACGGAGTATAAGTTTAAAGGTAATTAATACAACATTTGCTTTTGCTGTAATTTTCAGGAAATGGATGGATTTGGGGGTTAAATTTTATAGCAAATGTTGTTACACTGACCTGTTTACAGTTTTGTATTCTTACATGCTGGAAAAAAACAAGAAAAAATGCTGTTCTTGTAGTCTGGTTCCCTGATCCTACTTCAGACGAAACAGAGCAATTTATAGACGTCAGGGAATTATCAGGGAAGGGAACCAGAGTAGCTGGCTTGCACCCTTTCACCGATGTGTAATCGATTGCAAACAAAATGTGGACTGACTAAATTTTGTAAATTGGGGGCAGTATTTGAAAAAGTCAGTTTTGTTCCAACGATGGTCGGCCAATCATAATTGGAAAATTGATACAAAAATTCCAGGAGAAACTGACAGCACACCAGGTGCCATGATTTCACAGGATGCTTGAGACTATTATTCACTTACAGACTAGTCAAGTAAGGTACTGTATTTCATAATAATTTGGTACTTTTGTATTTTGATGTTTGCAAATGTTGTATTACCTTTAAAGATCTGGCACCGGTATTTCAACAACAAATTGGACAAATATAAAAACCATCTTCTGATGTCTGATCGTGACATGTAGTTTGCACACCATTTTGAAAATCTCTTTCAACACCAGTTGATCTTAATTCAGCGTAATATCTGTGTTGCTAAAACGGTGTTAATATTTGCACCAAACTGGGTAAAAAAAATTCAGAAAAGCAGTTGAAGTGGGCAATGTCACATTCTACACCTGTGTGTCCCACAAAAATATTCTCGTAGATTTTTCTTTAGCACTACTTAAACTCTGCCGCAATCAATCACAGAACAATCATCTGATTCAGAGAGATACCAAAGTTCACCGAAGGTGCCAAAAACGTAGCACCCTCTCGCCTGTTTACATATTTCTGGTCCAACTCCAGACATTTCTGAAATTCTTTGGTCAGGAAACCGAATTGCAAAAGAACAAACCTATCAAGATTTGCTATCTGCAAAGTTTGGTTTCGACAGGAAATGACACTGCCCGATATCTCAGAAAAATTGTTTGCTTTGTAATATTTCTTTCTGAAGTCATTTATTGGTTAGACTATTAGGAATTCCAGAGTCAAAACACTGCTGACAGTTTGTTTATTGTTCATTCTGAAATTGAAAACAAATTTCTGCAGGTTTGGAAATCAGAGTTGGTTTAATTTATTATTTTTATTGAAAATAATTTTTCTGGAGACAAAATACATGTAGCCCCTCTCCACCGCCCTACTTTCTGAACTGCATGGAAATACATACATGTACTTGTGATTGAAAGTTGAGCCAAGGTAAAAATTCAGGATTCTATTATTCAGATGTGAGTTGGGTTGGCGCAGTGGTTTTTTCCTCACCTTCCACCCCTATGGCTCGGGCTTCAGGTTCGATTCCTGCCCGGACAGAGGTCATTTCCAAAGATGCGTCTAATGACACATTTTTGGGAAATTTCCGTTAGTAGTTCGTTTTTAATTCGGCGAAGCCTTGAATGGGTGCGCGCAAGTGTTGACACCATGCACACGCGCGCGCGGTTGCTATAATTCGTCGGTTCAGTGCGTGACATCACGTAGAGCTGCAATCGGCTAAATGAGAATGTGTCCCGGATGCTGATTTCGGGCGCAATTCAGAACATGATTTTTGAATTGAAATTGAGATCCTAGAATATTGTTTCTCTGAATAAACAGCATTCACAGAGCTAAAACCTCATCAGCGTTAATTGTTAAGCACCCTTCTTTAGATTTTGAGCACTCTTGTTGTTTTAAACGAAAAAAAAATGCACAAAATGACAAATGGTATGTTCTACCTTTAATGAGTCATTATGACTATGAGTCCCCATAAATATTCTTACTGAGACTTTTCAGGTCCAGCTGTACTACACAAGCCTTGTCGTGCTATCCTACCAGTACAGTATGTGCAATACTTCAACCTGGCATTCTTGTAACTGGAAATCAAATGTTTCCCACTTTTTTTTAAAAAGAGGACTGACCATGGTGATCCAGTGACAGCTGTTAACCACACAGGTGGTTAGTAGCTCAAGCTCTAACACAGCCCTTGCAGGTGATTTTTCCCCCCTCTTTCTGGACTCTGTCCAGGGCCAGGGACTTTGACGCAATTAACCCTTGAATTAGGGGTAGGCAGTGAATTCCACACATACCAGGGTTTTCCCCTAGAGTAGCTTGCCTGAAAGCAGCTTGGCACAGTTGATGGAGTGCCATATCTTGGGGTTATGGCAGAACTCAGAAAGGACCCTTTTAAAACAAAAAGCTGTTCCTTGAATGCAGGATGCACACATGTGCACGTAGGCACTGCTGAACCTTAACAAGAAATCTTGACCTACATGTAAAGTATCCCCTTCGCTAATAAAATAGCATTATAGTATTAGTAGCCCTTAAGATTAGCCATCTGATAAATTTCTTTGGGGGGGGGGGGGGGCTTACATGTATTGATGAAAACCTTGATCTTACATACATGTACTGTACTGTACACGTACGTGTACATGTATGCCTTTCAAAGGGCAGTCTCCTCATCATACATGTAATTGACAAACAGACTAGTTGACTATAGAGTAACTGAGCGGACAAATTTAAGCAAGTATGCCTGTCTCGTACTCTCGATCTCCTACATGTACATGTGTACTTGGGGAACAATTGGTAAAACAAGTGACAAGCTGTAACCTACCCCACCCCAAGGGCCTCCCTATTCCCACTTGAGAATAAATATCCCCAAAATAACCCACAAGGTTCTCTAAGCACCCAAAAGTGTATCCCAAATTTCATTAATAAATACCCAATTAAAGCTATAGTCCATCATTTGCAGCCATCCGAAAAGTAACTGGCGTAATTACTGTTGAAAAACAAACTTGGTTGAAAGATAGTAAGGGAACTAAACTCCCTGTGAAATTATTCTTTCTGGGAAGCTGTCATTTTGAAGTAATCAACGAAAGAAGGCATTTCCAACGGTGATTCTTAAGAAGCACCGTAGGAAAATTTAAATTAGTAGTTCGTTTTGTTATTCAGCGCAGCGCGCACAAGTTTTGGAACGACGCACACGCGCGCGCGGTTGTTATAATTCGTCGGATCAGTGCGCGACGCCGCGTATAGCTGCAATTCAAAACAATTCAAAACAGGATTCAGTAACTTTTGATTTGAAATTGAGATCTTAGAATGCTGCTTTTCTCGGAATGTACAGCTGAAGCTTAGCTGAAACTTCATCAGGTTAGTTGCTCAGTATCCTTCATCAGATTTTGAACACTTTTGTTGCTTCAAACGAACAAAATGCACTAATTACAAATGATGGACTATAGCTTTAAGGACAATATCTTTAACCAACCAACCAGATCCATGAAAAATGGGGGAAAAACGGTGGAAATAGGAAACCAGTTTTGAAGTCAAGGACATACATACATGTAAGTGTATAGTTTCCATGCTCCACAAGTATGAATACCATGAGTAGGACTACATGTATTTTTACTTGCCATGAATATATTATACAAAGGGTATGAGTATGAGTAAAGGTATTTTTTTCTTGTGATTACAAACTTGTATGAGTACATTTTCATGAGTACAAGTTTGAGTACTACAACACGGAGTGGACCAATGCAGTGTCAATTCCCTAAACCTCTGTTAATACCCGGTACATGTAATACTCGATCCTTTAACCAGTTAACCACTGGATTAATTTTCACTCGACCTCAAGCCAGGCGGGTTGAAGCCATCACCTTTGGGCAGCACACTCATATTACCGGCCTCACTCGCTGCGAGCGGGTCGCTGACAGATATTTCCGGCCTTGCTCCCTGCGTGTTTATCCGTCATCCGTTCCGAATACCACAAAACCTTTACGTGTATACACGTCATCCGGCGCGAAGTTAAGATTCAAGCACTGGAGATTTTCCAAAAATAAAAAAAAAGATGGTGTTTTGCTCAACGTTCAGCATAGAACTTAAAAGGAGGTCTCAGAAAGACTAGATTTACAGAAACCGTCCACAAATTTCAAGACCAATCCTGTTTCTTGTGACTCTCACCTCACACATCATAATTAAGACATTAAAAGTCAGGTTTGTCCAATTGCCTGCCAAGTATCCGATCCATAACACATAAATCTCCCACTCCCCCCCCCCTCTTTCCATTCATGACCTTTGACCCTCATCCAGGGCAGGCAAAAGGTCAAGAGGTCAGGGTGCTCCTTTGATCCCAAACCTTTATGCCCCTTGTCTTGACTCCACTCCTGCTAATAAAATATGAGTGGAATGCCCAATGGAATGCCATGAGAATAACACTGGAAGTCCCAGAGCAGGTGGTCCCATGCTGATAAAGGGGTAGTGTGGCAAGTGTCAAGAATTATTAAATTTGACCAGCGTCACACCTCTGCTTGATAAACTACCGGTACTGGGTACCCTCTGCTGAAAGACTAGCGGAGGTCATTATTATGCAGAGAATTTGCCTGGTTTTATGGATCTTGGAAATGAAAAAAGCATTTCTGTGAGAGAT